ATGTACACAAATAACATTTATGAATAAAGTCTGGATTATGGTAATGACTGTGGAACTGAATGTGAAAAATTTAAGAATTCGGCGATAATTCTATTACAAATGTTAAAGAACTGCGTATTCAATTCAAAAGGAGATACTTTCAGAACTCTTATGCAAATATCCAAAGTTTGTTCACTGCAGGTAGTGCATGAAAGTTTACTTACTGTGGGTAGTGCATGAAAGTTTACTTACTGTAGGTAGTGCATGAAAGTTTACTTACTGTAGGTAGTGCATGAAAGTTTACTTACTGTAGGTAGTGCATGAAAGTTTGCTCACTGTAGGTAGTGCATGAAATTTTTCTCACTGTGGGTAGTGCATGAAAGTTTACTTACTGTAGGTAGTGCATGAAAGTTTGCTCACTGTAGGTAGTGCATGAAATTTTTCTCACTGTGGGTAGTGCATGAAAGTTTGCTCACGGTAGGTAGTGCATGAAAGTTTACTCACTGTGGGTAGTGCATGAAAGTTTGCTCACTGTAGGTAGTGCATGAAAGTTTACTCACTGTAAGTAGTGCATGAAAGTTTATTTACTGTAGGTAGTGCATGAAAGTTTACTCACTGTAGGTCGTGCATGAAAGTTTACTCACTGTAGGTAGTGCATGAAAGTTTACTCACTGTAAGTAGTGCATGAAAGTTTATTTACTGTAAGTAGTGCATGAAAGTATATTTACTGTGGGTAGTGCATGAAAGTTTGCGCACTGTAGGTAGTGCATGAAAGTTTACTCACTGTGGGTAGTGCATGAAAGTTTGCTCACGGTAGGTAGTGCATGAAAGTTTACTCACTGTGGGTAGTGCATGAAAGTTTGCGCACTGTAGGTAGTGCATGAAAGTTTGCGCACTGTAGGTAGTGCATGAAAGTTTGCTCACTGTGGGTAGTGCATGAAAGTTTGCGCACTGTAGGTAGTGCATGAAAGTTCGCTCACTGTAGGTAGTGCATGAAAGTTTACGTACTGTAGGTAGTGCATGAAAGTTTACGTACTGTAGGTAGTGCATGAAAGTTTACGTACTGTAGGTTGTGCATGAAAGTTTACGTACTGTAGGTAATGCATGCACATGACTTAACTTTCTTCAGCCTCCCATTGGACGAGTGTGTGAGGTGCATGATAAGTTCAACTGACTCACCACAGATGTAAATTCCTCGACATAGAGACTGTTGCGGTCCAGTTATTGAACCAAATTGTGTTATGAAAGACTTGATATGTACATTATTAGCTTCGTCACTAGCTTATTGTAACATTAGCTAAGTAGGAAGGGAAATGTCAGGAGAAAGCGCCAAGCCATAACGACTATATAGCACTTGGAAAGGATCACGATAAGGATTTTGGATGGGATAGGTGAGGGGGGGGGGGGGTAGGAATGGCGCCCAACCAGTTGGACGGTCGGGAATTGAACACAGACCAGCACGAAGCGAGACCGTCGCTCTACAGTCCATCCAAAGTGGTTGGCTGTAACATTAGCTAAATGAATTTGTTGTTCAGTTCCTGAGCCCATTATGTGTCTTTGTAACCTTTCTCACTACCAAATGAGGTGAGTATCACTATGGGGATGCATAATAAATTAACAAAATCAAATTGTAATCTCTGATTAATTGTGCGATTAGCTATGCACCATGTGACTATAACTATGGCGGTATGTCCACTCACAGGATGAGTGGCGCTGCCCAATAATCTCCCCCACGGAACAAAATTTAAAATTTAAACTATAACAAGCAATTGCAGGTTACGATGAACCATCTGTTATACCAACAACAATTACGGATTACAGATAAACGAGCTATTAGAACACAAATTTTAGCCAGTAAAACAAGTTGTCCTGTGCCATGAAAGACAAGGTTAACATTAACACCATGTAATACATGGACCTTGGACAGCGGCGAATAAACTCCAACGTGGATAGATGGGGGGTTTAAATCCTCCTCGTCCCTAAGGCTTTTTTTCCCCATGGGGAAAGTAAAGAGGATGAAGAGGTGAATGGTGAATGGAATGTTTGGAAATGAGAAATATAACAACCTAACTGTAAATATATAGCTATTGAAACAGAACATTCTCTGTAACTAGCTGACATTATAATTATAAGGTGTGAAAGATAGATGAAATAGTTAATGAAATCATCACCGTTGAGGTCTGATAAAGACCTTTTCTCCCTTATGTAATCCTTTTTACACTACCGCTGACAGGATGTGTATGGGGTGTACAATAAACTAGCCGCCTCCGGCGGCAACAATGAAATCTGTCCTACAAAGAACGTCGCGTTTAGCTCATATACGTTATTAAAGCCAAAAATTGGCGTAATAGAAAATGGAAGCCACTCGCGAAACTGACGTACTGTCCCGTTTTCTGTTTAGGGTCCTCTGGTAGGTTAGGAGAAGACACTGATGAACCGTGTTTTTGATGTTCTGAAACCTTAGGAGGGCGGGCTGAATATAATGTGTTATGATAGGAGGCGAACTCTCCGTCTTGCTGACACGATATGACTGCCTTAGCTTGGCAGCTAAGCTAAGCTTGCTCTCCCTTGTCAGGGAGCTGTGAGTGTGGTTCTTCACATGTGTTTCAGCATATATGGATGTCTATAGATGAATACTGTGTAACATTGACATATACACACCCGATGCTTGCACACATAGTAAACGGAATGCAATAGCAAGTGATGTGGTGGAGGCTGACTCCATACACAGTTTCAAATGTAAATATGATGGAGCTTGAGACGCTCAGGAATCTGTACACCAGTAGATTGACGGTTGAGAGGCGGGACCAAAGAGCCAAAGCTTTACCCCCGCAAGCACAGCCAAGTGAGCATTTGTTTCATGGTCTGTTTAAAGCTCTTCATTTTTTGTTATATATATATATATATATATATATATATATATACACACATACTGGCTTTGGTGTTATGGAGCGGTGTTGGCGAGTGATCTGGATGGCTCGGGGGAGGTGAGACGTGGTCCTGATCGGGTAGGGGGAAGGGGTGGGGTCTTATTCCGGAATAGGTTGGGGGAGTGGGGCTGTGGCCTTGATGTTGTGGGAGGCGGATGTAGAAGAGAGAGAAGGGGGAATAATGAGAGGGAGAGGAATGACAGCGTAGATAAGGGGGGAACGGGATGACACACCTGGAGAGGGGAGGGGGCATAAGACACAAGGGGAGAAGGATGACACATTTTGGGAGGGGGGGGGATGACACACTAGAGGAGAGGGGAGTTAAAAATTACGAGTGAATAGAGAGACAAGACATGACTCAAGGAAGGAAAACCAAACGCCAGAATATAATAAAAACACGAGACAAAAAGATAAACCATAATGGGCGAGAAATGGAAGCACAGAAGAATTTACCAAGGGAAAAAAGAACTCACACAAACAAGATAATACAGTGCCCATGCGTGGGTAACACTGTGGCCCGGGTGCCTGCTACAACAATCAGGACCCAAAACGTTTAGGTGTTCACAACGTAATAAAACGTTCATGTTAATAGATGTTGTATGATTCCAGGTATAATACTCAAGCCTAGTCCCTCTACCAACTATTCCTAGTCAATGTCATATTCTTAGTGTCGTCTTAGTGACAGGAAATTGGTCAATTTTTATTGTTCAAATGAACTGATGCAATCGATAGAAGAATGTTCAGTTATTTATATAGCTTCCAGCCTAGATTCATCTTCATTTTCACATTCATTTCCTGAATTCCGTTATCACCATCACTATTCACCTTCATCATTAACTTTTTATATTATTAACCATTCTGCTTCCATTATATCCACACCTGCTCAATACCGTGGCGTCAATGATAACCGATCACCACCACCACCATGATAACAATCACCACCAGCAACACCACAACCACGATAACTAACACCACCAACATCAGCAAATTAAATATACAATACTCTCAAAGATTGCATGATACGAAACAAACGTTTTTATGAGTATATCTGAACTTAGCGGTTTTGTTTTTGTCTTTAATTCGTTAGTCTACAAGTGACTGTAGACAACAGTTCCGCCTCGGGTACCATATTCCAGCAGCGCCGTTGCCTCTCCTCTCCCACCCACCGCTGTCATTACCACATTTTGATAGCTTCCCCCCACACCCACACCCCACCTTCACTACGAGTACCACACTCTAGCAGCCTACTCCCCCACCCCAACACTGGGAGGTACAAGCGGCAGCCCCCTCCTCCCTTTACAGCTGCGGGCACCACACTCAAGCAGTTCCCCTCCTCCCTCCGCGTACCACACTTTGCACGAGGTCACCCATCCATTACTGTACCTTACCTGACTGTCCCAGTGCGCCCACTGCGCAGCGCGAGTGCTCAAAAAAAGATAATAATTTAATGATTCACACTCGTTAAATTCCTCATTTTGTACTAGAAACTGTATGACATAGAAATAGAAATTTCCCCAATGTGGAGGCCGTTGGCTAGTTCCGTTACTGTAGGGACGGTTGCCACCTGCCGCCACCCATCACAGGCTGCTGCATCAACGCGCCGTTGTGTCAACGTGGCACTGTATCTCTACACAAGTGATTTATTAGTTCTGTATCACTGTATCATTATTTACTGTCATCACCTAACAACCCATCCTCCCAAAATGTACAACCAACAGCTGCTATACGGATGGAATGTTCAAAATATGAACTCCTTTTCAATAAAGGAATTCTGAAGAACATAAGTGAAAAAAACGAACCATACACTAATCTAATCTGTTATAGGCCTAAATAAGCAAGCCTAGGCCAAAATACGCGTTCTTAAGTCTAATTTGGTATATGTATGTGTTTTTCAGGACCTAGGAAAAAGTATAACTTGTTTCTTGCCTTTTTCATAAACTTTACAAAATTCTTCTAAACGTTGATCTGTAATTGTACAAGTCTATATTCTATACTAACAATACCGACACAACAATTTCTGAATGATAGGCTGTTTTCTCTATATCAAATGTATTCATCTATACTATGTACTGTACAGCCTACTAGGACCATGAAAACATTACCAATTATATACAATATTTTTATTACACAAACCAACAATTGTAATGTGACAAAGTACATCAGTCAGGAAATGTCAATAATAGATGATCCATTTGTTAAGATGTACTGGTAGTTACGTCGACCAGTTCAGACGAGTTGACCGAGCATCTCGTAGGGGAGTTGACCCACAGCCGCTGCTCGTAGGGGAGTTGACCCACAGCCGCTGCTCGTAGGGGAGTTGACCCACAGCCGCCGCTCGTAGGGGAGTTGACCCACAGCCGCCGCTCGTAGGAGAGTTGACCCACAGCCGCCGCTCGTAGGGGAGTTGACCCACAGCCGCCGCTCGTAGGAGAGTTGACCCACAGCCGCCGCTCGTAGGAGAGTTGACCCACAGCCGCCGCTCGTAGGGGAGTTGACCCACAGCCGCCGCTCGTAGGGGAGTTGACCCACAGCCGCCGCTCGTACGGGGAGTTGACCCACAGCCGCCGCTCGTACGGGGAGTTGACCCACAGCCGCCGCTCGTAGGGGAGTTGACCCACGGCCGCCGCTCGTAGGGGAGTTGACCCACAGCCGCTGCTCGTAGGGGAGTTGACCCACAGCCGCCGCTCGTAGGGGGAGTTGACCCACAGCCGCCGCTCGTACGGGGAGTTGACCCACAGCCGCCGCTCGTAGGGGAGTTGACCCACAGCCGCTGCTCGTAGGGGAGTTGACCCACAGCCGCCGCTCGTAGGGGAGTTGACCCACAGCCGCCGCTCGTAGGGGAGTTGACCCACAGCCGCCGCTCGTAGGGGAGTTGACCCACAGCCGCCGCTCGTAGGGGAGTTGACTCACAGTCGCCGCTCGTACGGGGAGTTGACCCACAGCCGCCGCTCGTAGGGGGAGTTGACCCACAGCCGCCGCTCGTAGGGGAGTTGACCCACAGCCGCCGCTCGTAGGGGAGTTGACCCACAGCCGCCGCTCGTAGGGGAGTTGACCCACAGCCGCCGCTTGTAGGGGAGTTGACCCACAGCCGCCGCTCGTAGGGGGAGTTGACCCACAGCCGCCGCTCGTAGGGGGAGTTGACCCACAGCCGCCGCTCGTAGGAGAGATGACCCACAGCCGCCGCTCGTAGGGAAGTTGACCCACAGCCGCCGCTCGTAGGGGAGTTGACCCACAGCCGCCGCTCGTAGGGGAGTTGACCCACAGCCGCCGCTCGTAGGGGAGTTGACCCACAGCCGCTGCTCGTAGGGGAGTTGACCCACAGCCGCCGCTCGTAGGGGGAGTTGACCCACAGCCGCTGCTCATAGGGGAGTTGACCCACAGCCGCCGCTCGTAGGGGGAGTTGACCCACAGCCGCCGCTCGTAAGGAAGTTGACCCACAGCCGCCGCTCGTAAGGAAGTTGACCCACAGCCGCCGCTCGTAGGGGGAGTTGACCCACAGCCGCTGCTCGTAGGGGGAGTTGACCCACAGGCGCCGCTCGTAGGGGAGTTGACCCACAGCCGCCGCTCGTAAGGAAGTTGACCCACAGCCGCCGCTCGTAGGGGGAGTTGACCCACAGCCGCTGCTCGTAGGGGGAGTTGACCCACAGCCGCTGCTCGTAGGGGGAGTTGACCCACAGGCGCCGCTCGTAGGGGAGTTGACCCACAGCCGCCGCTCGTAAGGAAGTTGACCCACAGCCGCCGCTCGTAGGGGGAGTTGACCCACAGCCGCTGCTCGTAGGGGGAGTTGACCCACAGCCGCCGCTCGTAAGGAAGTTGACCCACAGGCGCCGCTCGTAGGAGAGTTGACCCACAGCCGCCGCTCGTAGGGGGAGTTGACCCACAGCCGCTGCTCGTAGGGGGAGTTGACCCACAGCCGCTGCTCGTAGGGGGAGTTGACCCACAGCCGCTGCTCGTAGGGGGAGTTGACCCACAGCCGCTGCTCGTAGGGGGAGTTGACCCACAGCCGCTGCTCGTAGGCGAGTTGACCCACAGCCGCTGCTCGTAGGGGAGTTGACCCACAGCCGCCGCTCGTAGGGGGAGTTGACCCACAGCCGCCGCTCATAAGGGAGTTGACCCACAGGCGCTGCTCGTAAGGAAGTTGACCCACAGCCGCCGCTCGTAAGGGAGTTGACCCATAGCCATAGCTCGAAGGCGAGTTGACAAAGTAGGCAAGTGTTCATGATGCCAGACTTATGACACCTGCAGAGCGCTGAGGTAATGTGTTCCGACTTTTGGAATTCTGATAATCAGCGCGTTGTTGACACTGACAGGAGGTGTGTTGAACAACACTCAGCTGACGGAACTGTGTGACGTTGTTAGGTCCCTGGTAGGCCAGAGCGAAGGCTTTGAGTATGGTGGCGCCAGGGGCGGGGAGGCAGAGTTGGTGGTCATCACGGCAGAAGCTGCACTCCTCCACGCAGCGAGACGTCAACACCCACCGCGGGTAGACGCTCATCTCGTCGATGTCGTCGCCAACCTCGTCTCTCACCGGCACTTTCACTGCCGTAGGGTGACACCCGAGACTCTCCAGTTCCTCCACCTGCGTCAGGATTCGACTCTCAGGGTCTCTCAACATTTTTGTAAGGGCACTTTCTCCTTTTCCCAGATTCGCAATCAGCAGATCACATACAACAACGGTGCTTACTATGCTGCCAAGAATCAGTAGGACCTTGCGACGGTTACATTTCCATATAGATCGGGGCTCAGAGGTGACCTTTATGCATTGTGTGGGGCCAAGCTCAGGATCAGGATCGGATCTTGTGTTCATAGTTTCCATTTCTGGTAAGAACAAGGATTTTTATCCTGCAAAAAATCGGTTGAATAATCACAACAGAGCTGATGTCTTTGACGTCGAAGATCTTTTAATGGATTTCAAGTAAAACAATCCTTGGGTAGAGAGTGAGACTCCTTGTTTGCTTGAAGTGAAAAGACCTACTGGCTTGCTAACATTCCCAGCCTTTCTTTATATATAGATATATCCTCCAGTCTACGTGCCTGGAACTTTTCCTGTTTCCCGTTTCCGTTCTAACGTTATGTATTTTTCCCTCTAGGGGACTTCCTATAGTTTCATAATTACGTGAAAAAGCGAAAAAACAGGATTTTGTATTTTAGTAGTTTTTTTTTAGTAACTGTGACACGTCACTACTCTACGATGATTTGAAGAAATATGTGTGCCATGTCCCGGGCACCGTCAGCGGCTGCGTGAACACAGGAACCAGAAACAACACAGGAACTTCAAGGATGATAAACCAATCCCGAAACACTATAACATAACCGTGGAAGATCAAACAAATTTTATTAGACACGCCTTCAATTATGTAGCCTCCCTGATCTCACTGGCAGGACGGGCTGAACTCTCCGTATCTCCGAGGCTCCGACCGACTCCCTGATCTCACTCCCAACTCACTTCGACTGCCTCTCTGATCTCACTCCGATTATTATAAACGTGTCCTAGCGGACGGTATTATAAGACAATGAAATTATATTTATTGTGAAGTGGTTCTTAAAGTGGATCATCCTCACGTAGACAGTGTTCTTGCCTTGGTCATCGAATAGTAGATACCAGGTTAATAGGTTTTAAGTTTACTTTGAGGAAGTATGGCTATCAGTGTAATGTCACTGTTGTGCTAATCTGTGACACCGTTGTGCTAACCTATGTCACTGTTGTAAGTAGCGAAAGATACTGTTGTACTAGCTTATGACACCATTTCGCTAGCCTATGAAACTGGAACACATGAAGTATATCATCACGTGAAGTATATCAGTACATGATCTACTGCATGTGACATTCAAGGTAGTCAGTATGGGACATTCTACAACATAATGTTCAAATAAATGTCTGTTTACTTTTTTACCAAGTTGACACATGGTGTACTCGACACTTGAGTTTTGGGAAAGGCGTGGTTGGTGATGGTGAGGGGAATGGAGAGGCTACTCAATATTCCGACCCCATCACAGGACGCGAGGAAAACAGTCTTCTGCACGTTCGCCACGGGAACGGACGCGTCCGCTCTCACAGCCCACTTCGACCAATCGTGTGATAGTCAACCAGGTGGATTGCACTAAGAGGTCAGTCCCATTCTCATCCTGAATATTCGGGAGAAGAAGGGCCTCCTTTAGTAATGAGTATTGCCGGGTAAAGCACCAGCAAGCTCGAGCCTCTCTACGCGACATCCAACGCCACAGCGACTCGTCGAGGAGGTGGCATATGGGACCAGCCACCTGGTACCACGTTTCAGAGAGTGAAGGTCACCTTACTGAACAACCATGCGTTCATCAAGAGTGAACTGCTGCAAACCCTCTCCACCATCACCAACGTCACACCGTCGACTTTCGCCAGGAGGTGGCGGATGTTCTCTTCTACTCACGAGAGGATAACATCGACCCACGTTATTGTGGCTCCTCATCAGCATCGACCGCTTCGAAACACTTCCTACCCTCACCTGACTCCAACACAGCCGTCGCCACCACCCCAACAGAGCCAACTCACTACACAGCACGATGTACGCTCTAACCACGGTGGCTGACAAGATTGCTGGCCCCAACTACCAGGAATATGAGAGGATTCTGAACATACCATACCCTGCGAATGGCCTCGCGCCTTTCACTGTACTCCAGGAAGTCTACACCACCTCTTCTCCATTTACGAGTTTTGCTCTGGCCTCTGACCCAGACATCACTGTGAACGCTGCCGCGCTCACAGATCTACTGTCCACTGCTGCAATACCCGTTCTTTCAGAACCATCTAGTACCATCGCGACACAGAGCTTGAATACATCCTCTGACTGAGGACCTGCTACTTCTTTGGTCTCGCCTCTCGACTGTCAATCAACTGGGTGCGTTCAATCAACTGCTGTCTGCCTATGTTGATGAATGCATAAATATATAAAAAATAATATATTCATTCATGTCTATATAAGAATCCACATACCACACACTCGCTGTTCCTTCTCAGAATATAATCTGCCACTGGCATATCTTCTCAATTGGTCTCCTGGGAACCTGCTTCTTATATACGGAGTAAATGTTTGCGAAACACTCCCCCATCTTCTTCCCCTTCAACCATCTCATTCACCTCACCCATCCTCTCTCCTCCTCATAATACAGATTCCTCCGGCCCTCCTCTCTCCCCATCACCCCTCCTCATCCGCTCATCCCCACCGATACCCCGTCCACTTTCAACTTGGGCGACATTGACCAACAAGTGATGTATAGCGATGACATCAGCGCAGGGCGCGGCGGCGTGACCCAGTGCTCATCATCCGGTACTTACCTACTAGCACTTACCAGTTCTTGGCTTCCTACCAGTGTTTACTAATCGGCACTCGCCTATCTGTATTTGTCTATCGGTACCTACCTGTCAGTAGCTACAAGAAAGTGAGGCCTATCCCTTTATGCCCCCGCCTACTGGCCTTGTTGCATATGTTGCGTTATAGCCAGAGTGGCCAGACGTCCTGCACTGGAGCAGTCCTTCGTCCTGCGGCACCTCAAGAAGGACGTTAATTTGTCGTGCTTGAGGCCTGTCTAAACATATGTGTACATGGTACATCCGGTACTTCATTTAGTTTGTCAAGTAAGTTAATTTGGCTAGCATATGCTGTTCCAGCGAAAGTAAACATTAATATTAATATCTTCGAATTGCTTATTTTTACTGTATGAATGCAAGTATTTGATATATATACAGTGCGTTTAAAAAATTAAACGAAAGGTTCCTCTTACATGGGGTCCATTCCACGCACCGCCCCTCGCTTCACCTGACAGCCTGAGTGAACAGCGCTTCGGATTCGTAGTCCTGAGGTTCTGGGTTCGATCACCGATGGAGGCGGAAAAATGGGAAGAGTTTTTTCACCCTGATGCTCCTTTTCACCTAGCAGTGAATATCTACCTGGGAGTTAGACCTCTGCTATGGGCTGCTTCCTGGGGGAGTTACAAAAAGGCCTGGTCGGGAACCGGGCCACGGGGACGCTAAGCCCCGAAATCATCTCAAGATAACCTCGCCTCCCTCCTCTCTCTCTCTCTCTCTCTCTCTCTCTCTCTCTCTCTCTCTCTCTCTCTCTCTCTCTCTCTCTCTCTCTCGAGAGAGAGAGAGAGAGAGAGAGAGAGAGAGAGAGAGAGGAAAGTCCGGAACGGCACGGGTGTCTCTCCTTTAGACTCCGGTCTTTGACCATTCCAATGCCAGCCGTACACGATATCGTTGCTTCTCCAGCCGGGATTCTGCCTTAGAGGCTTTCAGGCATAAAATCCCACGGACGTAGCCTCGCTCCACTGGCCGATCGACCAAGAACGGAACCATTTGTCTGGACTTGCCGTTCCTCTCGTACTGAGCAGGACTGCTGTCGCAACGACATAGCTTAACAGTAGGGTAAAACTAACCTGTCTCACGACGGCCTCACCATCTTCATCTCTCCTTCTCCTTTTGAGCAGAGGGACACGAAGAGAAGGATAGGAGAAAGAGAAGGATAGGAGGAACAAGCAGGTAGGAGTAAGAGAAAGGCAGGAGGAAGAGAAAAGTAGGAGGATGAGAAGGATCGGAGCAAGAGAATGATAGGAGAAAGAGAATGATAAGAGCAAGAGAATGAGATAAAAAAGAGAAAGACAGAAGGAAGAGGTGGAACAGATCAGTAATATAAACAGCAGAAAGGATAACGGTAGAAGCAATCGCTGCAACAGTAACAACGGGAGAAGCAGTGGTACTATCGATAACCAGCCACAACCATAATGGCAAGAATTTAGATAGGAAATATTCACATAATTCCCACTCCCACCGACAAGGCCAAATACGACCACAATAGCGCCATCTATTGACGTCGACGTCAACTGAGTGTACCGGATGACAGAGACTGCGGGGAAGGGGGAGACTGAGCTATTTATAGTTTTCTCGCAAATGATGGATTGTGAGACCGGAGGGTGCGTTCCAAACTCCTAATAAATTTGTTAGTAATTCCGGGATACTTCCGAGCTCATCATGGTTAAGTCGGTAGTGCATGTGCTTAAGTGTCCAGGAATATGGGTTCGATCCCATTAAACAGCTACAAAACTTTTTCTAATATGTAATGTCGGGACGTTTGGGGAAGGAAGCGCCGCTGGGAATTTGTGTGTGACTCCCTGCAGGGGAGAATTTATACCAGGAGGGGAAGGGAGAGGTTGCTACCCGGAGGGGAAGCTGCTATCAGGGGGAGGGGAGGAAGTTGACTTGTCACCTGTTGACGTAAACGGTGCTGCCACCTGTTGATGCACACGGTGCTGCCACCTGTTGATGCACACGGTGCTGCCACCTGTTGACGTAAACGGTGCTGCCACCTGTTGATGCACACGGTGCTGCCACCTGTTGACGTACAGGGTGCTGCCACCTGTTGACGTACACGGTGCTGCCACCTGTTGATGTACACGGTGCTGCCACCTGTTGACGTACAGGGTGCTGCCACCTGTTGACGTACACGGTGCTGCCACCTGTTGACGCACACGGTGCTGCCACCTGTTGGTGCACACGGTGCTGCCACCTGTTGATGCACACGGTGCTGCCACCTGTTGACGTACAGGGTGCTGCCACCTGTTGATGCACACGGTGCTGCCACCTGTTGATGTACACGGTGCTGCCACCTGTTGACGTACACGGTGCTGCCACCTGTTGATGTACACGGTGCTGCCACCTGTTGATGTACACGGTGCTGCCACCTGTTGATGCACACGGTGCTGCCACCTGTTGATGTACACGGTGCTGCCACCTGTTGATGTACACGGTGCTGCCACCTGTTGATGTACACGGTGCTGCCACCTGTTGATGCACACGGTGCTGCCACCTGTTGATGCACACGGTGCTGCCACCTGTTGATGCACACGGTGCTGCCACCTGTTGACGTACAGGGTGCTGCCACCTGTTGATGCACACGGTGCTGCCACCTGTTGATGTACACGGTGCTGCCACCTGTTGACGTACACGGTGCTGCCACCTGTTGATGTACACGGTGCTGCCACCTGTTGATGTACACGGTGCTGCCACCTGTTGATGCACACGGTGCTGCCACCTGTTGATGTACACGGTGCTGCCACCTGTTGATGTACACGGTGCTGCCACCTGTTGATGTACACGGTGCTGCCACCTGTTGATGCACACGGTGCTGCCACCTGTTGATGCACACGGTGCTGCCACCTTTTGATGCACACGGTGCTGCCACCTGTTGACGTACACGGTGCTGCCTTCTGTTGATGCACACGGTGCTGCCACCTGTTGATGCACACGGTGCTGCCACCTGTTGACGTACACGGTGCTGCCACCTGTTGATGTACACGGTGCTGCCACCTGTTGACGTACAGGGTGCTGCCACCTGTTGACGCACACGGTGCTGCCACCTGTTGGTGCACACGGTGCTGCCACCTGTTGATGTACACGGTGCTGCCACCTGTTGATGCACACGGTGCTGCCACCTGTTGATGTACACGGTGCTGCCACCTGTTGACGTACACGGTGCTGCCACCTGTTGATGTACACGGTGCTGCCACCTGTTGATGTACACGGTGCTGCCACCTGTTGATGTACACGGTGCTGCCACCTGTTGATGCACACGGTGCTGCCACCTGTTGATGCACACGGTGCTGCCACCTGTTGACGTACACGGTGCTGCCACCTGTTGATGCACACGGTGCTGCCACCTGTTGATGTACACGGTGCTGCCACCTGTTGATGCACACGGTGCTGCCACCTGTTGATGCACACGGTGCTGCCACCTGTTAACGTACACGGTGCTGCCATCTGTTGATGCACACGGTGCTGCCACCTGTTGATGTACACGGTGTTGCCACCTGTTGATGCACACGGTGCTGCCACCTGTTGACGTACACGGTGCTGCCATCTGTTGATGCACACGGTGCTGCCACCTGTTGATGTACACGGTGCTGCCACCTGTTGATGCACACGGTGCTGCCACCTGTTGATGTACACGGTGCTCCCCTGTTCACGTACACGGTGCTCCCCTGTTGACGTACACGGTGCTGCCACCTGTTGACGTACACGGTGCTGCCACCTGTTGACGTACACGGTGCTGCCACCTGTTGACGCACACGGTGCTCCCCTGTTGATGCACACGGTGCTGCCACCTGTTGACGTACACGGTGCTGCCACCTGTTGATGCACACGGTGCTGCCACCTGTTGATGTACACGGTGCTGCCACCTGTTGATGCACACGGTGCTGCCACCTGTTGACGTAAACGGTGCTGCCACCTGTTGACGTACACGGTGCTGCCACCTGTTGACCCACACGGTGCTGCCACCTGTTGACCCACACGGTGCTGCCACCTGTTGATGCACACGGTGCTGAAACCTGTTGATGCACACGGTGCTGCCACCTGTTGACCCACACGGTGCTGCCACCTGTTGATGCACACGGTGCTGCCACCTGTTGACGCACACGGTGCTCCCCTGTTGATGCACACGGTGCTGCCACCTGTTGACCCACACGGTGCTGCCACCTATTGATGCACACGGTGCTGCCACCTGTTGACGTACACGGTGCTGCCACCTGTTGATGAACACGGTGCTGCCACCTGTTGATGTACCCGGTGCTCCCACCTATTGATGCACACGGTGCTGCCACCTGTTGATGCACACGGTGCTGCCACCTATTGATGCACACGGTGCTGCCACCTGTTGATGCACACGGTGCTGCCACCTGTTGATGCACACGGTGCTGCCACCTTTTGATGCACACGGTGCTGCCACCTGTTGATGCACACGGTGCTGCCACCTATTGATGCACACGGTGCTGCCACCTGTTGATGCACACGGTGCTGCCACCTGTTGATGCACACGGTGCTGCCACCTATTGATGCACACGGTGCTGCCACCTGTTGATGTACACGGTGCTGCCACCTGTTAATGCACACGGTGCTGCCACCTGTTGATGTACCCGGTGCTCCCACCTATTGATGCACACGGTGCTGCCACCTGTTGATGCACACGGTGCTGCCACCTATTGATGCACACGGTGCTGCCACCTGTTGATGCACACGGTGCTGCCACCTGTTGATGCACACGGTGCTGCCACCTATTGATGCACACGGTGCTGCCACCTGTTGATGCACACGGTGCTGCCACCTATTGATGCACACGGTGCTGCCACCTGTTGATGCACACGGTGCTGCCACCTGTTGATGCACACGGTGCTGCCACCTGTTGATGTACACGGTGCTGCCACCTGTTGATGCACACGGTGCTGCCACCTGTTGATGCACACGGTGCTGCCACCTGTTGATGCACACGGTGCTGCCACCTATTGATGCACACGGTGCTGCCACCTGTTGATGTACACGGTGCTGCCACCTGTTGATGCACACGGTGCTGCCACCTGTTGATGTACCCGGTGCTCCCACCTATTGATGCACACGGTGCTGCCACCTGTTGATGCACACGGTGCTGCCACCTGTTGATGCACACGGTGCTGCCACCTGTTGATGCACACGGTGCTGCCACCTGTTGATGCACACGGTGCTGCCACCTGTTGATGCACACGGTGCTGCCACCTATTGATGCACACGGTGCTGCCACCTGTTGATGTACCCGGTGCTCCCACCTATTGATGCACACGGTGCTGCCACCTGTTGATGCACACGGTGCTGCCACCTGTTGACGTACACGGTGCTGCCACCTGTTGATGCACACGGTGCTGCCACCTGTTGACGTACACGGTACTGCCACATGACACACACGGTGCTGCCACCTGTTGACGACACTGTTAAGGAGAGAGCGGATGTGCATCCTTTGTGCGTTTACCAACATGGTGTAGTGGAGTTCGGTCACCACAGTGTTCGAGGAGTTATCATATCTTTCTATGGACTTCAGCATCCAAAAGGCAGTTCCGTCATCATCATCAGCATCAGCATCATCAGCAGCTGCAGCAGCAGTATTACCAGACGTGTGTCAGTAAGCTTACAAGATATCAATAACCTGAGTAACACCTTAAACTTGAAAAAACATATTTTGATAACTGCATTACGGTTCATAGATAACTAACTGTATTGTACACTTTGACAATATATTAGACCTATTGTAAATTAATCCCATATTATGCGTAATAATTAATCCCATATTATGTGTAATAATTAATCCCATATTATGTGTAATAATTAATCCCATATTATGTGTAATATTTTTTAAATTATTGGAATAACACACAAGCAATTCCCCTGACCTATTTCAGGGGAATTGCTCGTGTGTTCAATTATTTTCCAACCTCTAAAAGATGAACATGGTCTCTAATAGATGTAGATAAGGAGGAGGGAGCGGCCTGATGTGTGCTAGGTGGCCCCGTCCATGGGTCTAACACACATTGTTTTCAAACATCTGGTTATGATAGTATAGGGTTGTTATGCACGTCATAGCTTCACATGCTATCTCATGTGTTGACCTGTGTAGCGATGGTTAGCTTTCTCTGTCTCAAGCTAAGAGCACCCTAGAAGCACAAACCGAAACTGTCTCTATTTTCCGCTTGTTACAACTTGTAATAAAGTTGTTACATCTTGGCTTAACGTGTTTATGACGTATTAGAACGTTGTTACAACTTGCTATATTGGTTGTTATAACTGGTTAGGTGTTAAAACTTATTCGAACGTCGTACCAACGTCGTAGTTTCGGTGTGTGTTTGGCGGGTGACGAGGCTGGTGGGTGCTGAAATGTATCTTCCGTTACAGTGACCTTTGACATTAAACAGTTTGCGACATATTAGACATAATTTTCCGAAGTGGCTCAGTTTGTGCTCCATCATCCTCATGACATTTTCTTTAGAACATGTTCAGTAACTTTGTGTGATGACTTGATTATATGCTTCAAGCTAATTCAAGGTCGTCAATTGCATTGTACATCCAATATATATATCACACACTGCCCAAGAGTTTATATATATATATATATATATATATATATATATATATATATATATATATATATATATATATATATATATATATATATATATATATATATATATATTTGATCACCGAGTGCTGTCGGAGATTGGGTTAGTATTCGTTGCCTTGTGGGGTTGAATGTTAGACACAGTAGGCGCTTCTGTAGTTTTATTGATTAAGACAACAAGGTGTATAACTGGCCAGCCGAGGTCCACTTACTCTGAGTTTGTCGGGAGAACTGAGCCTGCTGGGAGCATGGCTGGTGACTCCCTGTCTGGCATGACGTCAGAGGCCTACTTGCCTGTGATTGGTTATGTCTCAACGGACATACAATTTGAGTATACCGCTTGGACACGCTACCAAGTCGACGTCCCTTGTCGACAAGCTCTGGCTAGCTATATAGTTACAATGATACTGAACGGACCTCGGTGGCATTCAATAATGGCTTACATGTGAAATTTGCATAATAAACAATGAAAGAAGATCAGGTGTGCATAATACTAACACCTCGGCATATGCACCAAAAACAAAATTGATCATAATAGGTGAAAATCATGGTAATAATGCTTTAATTAATCCAGAGTATTAAGAACATGTGTATGTCTACTTATCAGATATGAACAATACATCTCAAGGTATTGCCTAAACAAATTTATTAACATGTGTCAATGGCATGTGCTTGAAACAATACAAAATTAAACAATTATTACATTAATGGAACAAAGTTCTGACCTAACAACCACAAATGAATTTTAAGATTTGATAATGATTTTTTTTTGTTAATGTACAATATATTTACAAGACCAATGTACAATAGATTTACAAGCTATATGCAAGACGTGGATCAAGAAAACTAACATCTGCGTGATAGCAGTCAGGATTCACTGGCCTCAATGTGGTTGCTAGAACATTAATAACTCTTATGCCAAGCACTGTAAAAACTGTCTGACGACTTCCAATTCTTTTGAACAGTCAAAAGAACAGAAGAGGCATATTTGCGGCGAGACAGTGATCGACAGGTACGGCCAGCATGGCTTGCTCTACCAAAGCACAGGATGACGACATGCAATATACAGCGAGGTTAATGACATTATTAAGAGAAGCCTTACTACAGCCGGTTGTCAAGCAGAGAGAGAACCCCGTTATCTAATGCCCCGCAACTCTGACGAGCCTGTCGGTCGCCCAGACGGGATCACGGTGAACCCCTGGAAGAATGGTAGACAGTTGGTGTGGGACTACACTTGCGTTTCAACTTTACTCAACATCTATGTTGACTTTAGTGTTGCACATCCGGGCAGCGCTGCCACTCACCGGGAAGCAGCCAAGTCTCCTAAATACAGAGACCTTGATCACCAATAGAATTTTGTCCCCATTGCCTCAGAGACACTTGGTGCTGGGGTAAAAGTGCTGCTAGTTTTTTGTAGGAGTTGGGTTCTAGGGTAACTGAAATAACTAGAAACCCTAGAGCCGCCAGTTTCCTCTTTCAGCGCCTTAGTGTGGCGATCCAGAGAGGAAACACACTGCATCCATGGATCCTGCCCGCCATCTGAGGAGCTGGAGGAACTCGACAACTTGTGACACGTTATCTTGTACCTTGCATGTAACCAATGTTGTAACCGTTTTGTGTAATGAAGTTTAAAAAAAAAAAAATGACAAAATATAAAACATATAGGGGGGGGGTGGTAGAAGACAATATGTGGGTGTACGCGAGTGCCCCACAAGGCTCCCCAGGATGCTATATATCGTCTTTTTCGAGGTCGAGAGTCCTACAAATACAACCAGAGGTGGTACCCCTATATATATATATAGGGGTACCACCTATATATATATATAGAGGGTACCACCCCATATATATATTGTGACGGTAACGCGTTGGTGTTCGGCTGTTCAAAGCTAGGGGTATGGCCTCGTCACATAGTATTAAAAAAAAAATAGAAAATCTGGAACTTCGTCTGTGGTAAGGTAAGGAGAAGACACACAAAACACAAGTAAATTTTAACAATGAAATTTTAATTACGTTAAAGAAATAAAACATGAATAAAATGGTCAAACAAATTCGTATAATAAAATCAATCAATCAAAATAATAAGAATAATTAAATGACACAATGAAAAGTTACGTTAAGACAAAATAACAAGAAGTGCAATATACAAGTATATGAAAGGTGCTGGAATATTGGCTTTAAGCTATCACCTCTCTCAGTATACGTACGCTAAAGCTTACGTCTAGCAGGGAGAAGTGTTAACTGTGAAAGCACGGAATATTCTGAGGACTGAGGTCGTGGCGGCCCCAGACATCAAGTAGTATGGGGGGGTGGAGTGCAGTTGCAGCCAGACCGGCGACCAATCAGGCGAGGAGCCGGCAGTAAGACAGGTAGTTTGGCGGTTTGAGTCTGAGCAGGTGTCCCTGGCTGCATACGTTTTGCGCTCTGGCAAACCTTGCTGGTGTTGTTGTCGTTGTTGGACACTTCTTCCATAGTAGTTTTATATAAATATAACGACGTAATTGTGGAGGGAAGAGCAGGCTCAATCTCTTGAAGGAGAATATGTGACGGTATAATATGTGACGGTAACGCGTTGGTGTTCGGCTGTTCAAAGCTAGGGGTATGGCCTCGTCACATAGTATTAAAAAAAATAGAAAATCTGGAACTTCGTCTGTGGTAAGGTAAGGAGAAGACACACAAAACACAAGTAAACTTTAACAATGAAATTTTAATTACGTTAAATAAATAAAACATGAATAAAATGGACAAACAAATTCGTATAATAAAATCAATCAATCAAAATAATAAGAATAATTAAATGACACAATGAAAAGTTACGTTAAGACAAAATAACAAGAAGTGCAATATTCAAGTATATGAAAGGTGCTGGAATATTGGCTTTAAGCTATCACCTCTCTCAGTATACGTACGCTAAAGCTTACGTCTAGCAGGGAGAAGTGTTAACTGTGAAAGCACGGAATATTCTGAGGACTGAGGTCGTGGCGGCCCCAGACATCAAGTAGTATGGGGGGGTGGAGTGCAGTTGCAGCCAGACCGGCGACCAATCAGGCGAGGAGCCGGCAGTAAGACAGGTAATTTGGCGGTTTGAGTCTGAGCAGGTGTCCCTGGCTGCATACGTTTTGCGCTCTGGCAAACCTTGCTGGTGTTGTTGTCGTTGTTGGACATTTCTTCCATAGTAGTTTTATATAAATATAACGACGTAATTGTGGAGGGAAGAGCAGGCTCAATCTCTTGAAGGAGATTATCGTCACAATATATATATATATATATATAATATAGGAAGGGAGTACCACCTCTAGCTGGAAGAAGGGGGACCCATAGCCTCGGAGGAAACCACGCATAACGCATTAGAGGGAATATATATATATATATATATATATATATATATATATATATATATATATATATATATGTCGTACCTAGTAGCCAGAACACACTTCTCAGCCTACTATGCAAGGCCCGATTTGTCTAATAAGCCAAGTTTTCCTGAATTAATATATTTTCTCTAATTTTTTTCTTATGAAATGATAAAGCTACCCATTTCATTACGTGTGAGGTCAATTTTTTTTTATTGGAGTTAAAATTAACGTAGATATATGACCGAACCTAACCAACCCTACCTAACCTAACCTAACCTATCTCTTAGGTTAGGTAACCGAAAAAGTTAGGTTAGGTTAGGTTAGGTAGTCGAAAAACAATTAATTCATGAAAACTTGGCTTATTAGGCAAATCGGGCCTTGCATAGTAGGCTGAGAAGTGCGTTCTGGCTACTAGGTACGACATATATATATATATATGTCGTACCTAGTAGCCAGAACTCACTTTTCAGCCTACAATGCAAGGTCCGATTTGCCTAATAAGCCAAGTTTTCACGAATTAATATATTTTCTCTAATTTTTTTCTTATGAAATGATAAAGCAACCCATTTCATTATGTATGAGGTCAATTTTTTTTATTGGAGTTAAAATTCACGTAGATATATGACCGAACCTAACCAACCCTACCTAACCTAACCTAACCTATCTTTATAGGTTAGGTTAGGTTAGGTAGCCGAAAAAGTTAGGTTAGGTTAGGTTAGGTAGGTTAGGTAGTCGAAAAGCAATTAATTCATGAAAACTTGGCTTATTAGGCAAATCGGGCCTTGCATAGTAGGCTCAGAAGTGAGTTCTGGCTACTAGGTACGACATATATATATATATATATATATATATATATATATATATATATATATATATATATATATATATATATATATATATATATATATATATATATATATATGTCGTACCTAATAGCCAGAACGCACTTCTCAGCCTACTATTCAAGGCCCGATTTGCCTAATAAGCCAAGTTTTCATGAATTAATGTTTTTTCGTCTACCTAACCTACCTAACCTAACCTAACCTAGCTTTTTTTGGCTACCTAACCTAACCTTACCTATAAATATAGGTTAGGTTAGGTTAGGTAGGGTTGGTTAGGTTCGGTCATATATCTACGTTAATTTTAACTCCAATAAAAAAAAATTGACCTCATACATAGAGAAAAGGGTTGCTTTATCATTTCATAAGAAAAAAATTATAGTAAATATATTAATTCAGGAAAACTTGGCTTATTAGGCAAATCGGGCCTTGAATAGTAGGCTGAGAAGTGAGTTCTGGCTACTAGGTACGACATATATATATATATATATATATATATATATATATATATATATATATATATATATATATATATATATATATATATATATATGTCGTACCTAGTAGCCAGAACTCACTTCTCAGCCTACTATGCATGGCCCGATTTGCCTAATAAGCCTAGTTTTCATGAATTAATGTTTTTTAGACAACCTAACCTACCTAACCTAACCTAACCTAACGTTTTCGGCTACCTAACCTAACCTAACCTATAAAGATAGGTTAGGTTAGGTTAGGTAGGGTTGGTTAGGTTCGGTCATATATCTACGTTAATTTTAACTCCAATAAAAAAATTGACCTCATACATAATGAAATGGTTAGCTTTATCATTTCATAAGAAAAAAATTAGAGAAAATATATTAATTCAGTAAAACTTGGCTTATTAGGCAAATCGGGCCTCGCATAGTAGGCTGAGAAGTGAGTTCTGGCTACTAGGTACGACATATATATATATATATATATATATATATATATATATATATATATATATATATATATATATATATATATATATATATATATAATCTGCAGTCCTGCTGTTTAGTGGATACAATTCCATTGGGGATCCATCGCTCCTCATTGGTGGTTATAGGCCAGACGCTTTAGGCTAGTCTCACTCAACTTTCACACAAGAAGTATGTGTGGTAATGGAGTGTCATCGGCCCTTCAAGATCGGCACCAGTGCCATACAAACAAATATCGGCATCAAATCTAACCCCCCCCCCCCCCATCTCTCCAGTGCGATTTTCATGAAGTCTAAAATGCTTTGTTTTTGTCCGTAGACTTGTTTAGCAGTTTCAGTTCTTCTTTGTATATTTTTTTCTGAGAGACAGGGGAAGGGAGGGAATGAAATGGGGGTGGGGAGGAATGGGTTTATTTTTAAAATGAATTGGAAGGTGGATAGCGAGATAAACGGAAGTAAAGGGGTAAATGTGTGAGAGAAAGAGAAGGGGTGATGGTGGAGAGTCAGGAGAAAGATGAAGAGAATGGGAGACGGAGGAATATTGGAGGAAAGGAGAGGAGAGGTGAATGCTGGGAGAGAAAGGCGGAAATGGGGAGACGGGTAGAGAGAGGAGAGAGGAGGAAGGGCAGAAATTAAAAGACTCGGGTGCAGCCGGGGACCGCCTCGAGTGGTTGCGTAAATCAGCCATCATGTTTACCACAGGAGCGGCTCTTGTGTTGGTCTGGGGCTCCTCTGGGCTCAGGGCGTGTATGGTAGTGACGGAGCGTCCCAGCGGCACCAACCCCTGTCTCTCCTCAAGGTTGAACCCAGAAGGCAAGACACACTGGCAATTGAGTAGCATTATTGTGAATAGTGTAAGACTCCCCCTCGGGTTGAGTCATACATAAAAAGGTACAAGGCTTCTTACCTAAGGCTGGCCTATGCTCAACCCCCCCCCAACCCTCCTGCAGCTCATCTTGACCGCATCTTGCTAAGCTTACCTCACTCAGCTTGAGACTCAGGCACGAGACGAATGTTTGTTCTCGACTATGCTGAATTTCGTGTATTTTGAGCATCAATGATCTTGTCCTTGGTGATTGTCCTGTATGTTGCTAAATATACGGATCAGGCACATTAAGATGTTACGATGATGGAGATCACGAGAAGTAAGAACATTACAATGATGGAAACTTCAAATTGTTTCCAGCAGCCTGGGCAGAAAGTGGAAGATCAAACGAGAACATATCCACTAGGACTCGTTCGTGTGTTAATCATATCTATAAGAACATGGTATAGTTTTATGTCGGTGTTATGTGCCCAGCTGTATGACATTCTTCTCTTAATTCATCACAATTGTTGTCTGGTGTGTCAAGTAACTAACTTGTATGGTTATATTATCTCTCACTCACGACGTTATCCTGTGTCTAGCCCACTCACGTCTGTCAGTCACAAGCTCATTAAGATCTCGGCAAGTAATGTTGTTGTTGTAGATTCAGCTACTAGGAAGAAAAAGTTCTAAGTAGCACGGGCTATGGTGAGCCCGTAGTGGATTTACCTGGCACAGGAACGGTGCTGTAACTTGCGACAAGTAATATTAAACACTTGTTTTAAATCACTAACAGATGAGGTGTCTCTAGAATCCCTAATATAAGTAAACTTCCCCCCCCCCTTCCTCTCCACTTCAATTTCCCCACATCAGCCTTCCCCAGCTGTCAACCCCCTTCTAACCCCTCCCTTTCCCACTCGTCAAACCCTTCCCCCCTACAAATCTTCGCCCACTCGTTAACCCTTTCTTCCTCGCTCCTCAATCCCCCTCACCCTCCTCCCTTCCCCACCCATCAACCCTTTCTTCTCCCTCTTTCAAAGGCGTCAAACCCTTCCCCCCTTACACCTTTCTCCCGCTTTCCTCCCCACTCGTCAAACCCTTCCCCTTACTCAGAGGCTTCCGCGAGGTATTCCAGGGAGCCGCCCCCTGACGTGTCCCAGGCAGGACATGGGAGCGTCTCTGAAGGTTCCGGTGTTGTCACTGTGTGCGTTGTTCTACTTAGATCTACTTTAATTCTCCTTTGTTGTCTACTCTTATTAAAAATCCCAGAAATATATAATGCAATGAAATATTTAATTCTGAGCCAGAAACAGGTGTGTAAAGAGTGTCCCCGCTTTAGGTGTGCAAAGAGTGTATATAAATGATTGGTCCCCAAGCATAGAATCACTTAAACTCTATGACTCCACAGGATTCGAACCCATGATAGTGAGATACACTTCTTTGTGTATATATATATGAGCGCTTTAAGGTATTGTATATTAAACAAATTTTGCTACTGATAAACATGTCAATGACAGTCTGTATTAAAATGAGCTTTATTTATATAGCATCATAGGGGTAAAAATAAAAAGGTTATTTGGAGTACGTTTTTTATGAATAATGTATTATGACGTAAAATAGTGAATATTAAGTAATATTGTTATACAGGACTTTATATCACTTGAAGAAGCTTTATGGTTCAGGCAGCTGGAGTAGGCAGGCAGCTGGAGTAGGCAGGCAGCTGGTGTAGGCAGGCAGCTGGTGTAGGCAGGCAGCTGGTATAGGCAGGCAGTTGGTGTAGGCAGGCAGCTGGAGTAGGCAGGCAGCTGGTGTAGGCAGGCAGCTGGTGTAGGCAGGCAGCTGGTATAGGCAGGCAGTTGGTGTAGGCAGGCAGCTGGTGTAGGCAGGCAGCTGGTGTAGGCAGGCAGCTGGTGTATGCAAGCAGCTGGTTTAGGCAGGCAGCTTTCCTTCCCACACAGATGGCTCACGTAGGTGGGTTGGGCCCCCCATATGACGCACGCAGGTGCTAATGACTTCAGAGCTCCGGCGTATGTATAACTGCAAGGTGACTGATGCAGACTGTGGGATTACTTTTGATCACTGCTGTTGACATTGACAGGAGGTGTGTTGAACAACACTCAGCTGACGGAACTGTGTGACGTTGTTAGGTCCCTGGTAGGCCAGAGCGAAGGCTTTGAGTATGGTGGCGCCAGGGGCGGGGAGGCAGAGTTGGTGGTCATCACGGCAGAAGCTGCACTCCTCCACGCAGCGAAACGTCAACACCCACCGCGGGTAGACGCTCATCTCGTCGATGTCGTCGCCAACCTCGTCTCTCACCGGCACTTTCACTGCCGTAGGGTGACACCCGAGACTCTCCAGTTCCTCCACCTGCGTCAGGATGTGGCTCACGGGGTCGTCAAGGATAGTAGCGTTTGCAAGAGCCGTTGTTCCATTAGCTCCTGAAGGAACATTTTTCTCTTCTCCCACCGCTAAGGGGACATGAACATCGGTAGTGTCCGCAAGATACACTGTTTCATTATTAGCTGTTGATGGGGTACTTCCTCCTCTTCCTGCTGTCAAGATCACTGCAGCAACCAAAACAACCAAGCATACAATGCCAACGAGAACAAACAGACCTTTCCAAGGCACACATCTCCACCTAGGTTGCGATGTATGGCCAACCGTAATAAAATCCCCAAAAGACGTTTCTTCGGTGGTGTCCATTGCTTCTGTCTTCTGACTATACCGTCAGGCGATTAGATTAGCCGAGAAATTAGACACTAGACCCCAGGGGACACAGTTGATGATCTCGCCGCTTGAGACCTCCTCACCAGAGAACACTCTCAGCGGTTTTGATAACGTCAAAGGAGAATTATGGACCGGAGTTCAACGGAGAGTCTTGACAGCTCGTCTGACCAAGAAAAACTGTGTGTGTGTGTGTGTGTATCGCTACGACATGATCTAAAACGTTCAGTTACTTGTTTCCGTTCTAAGGAATTGTGTTCCTGACTTCAACCCGGATTTTATTCCGTAAAATGTTGTTTCTAGTGGAACTTCGTGACTTTTGTTTATGTTCTTCTCACACTTACAAACTAGTGAAATATAAGTAACGTAATATTTAAATAAAACAAATAATAGTGGCGAAAATGTTTAAATTCGAGAAAAAACTGTCCTACAACATTTAAAGCATTATATTTAATATTTTTAATTAATATTTCGCATTAGACAATATCACTTGCTTTTTTAATATGGTGTAAATATTTTAATAATATAATGCAAGAAATATATTTGGATAATAGCGAATGAACATCAAGCCATGAATTAATTACACACTTCAAGCCTACTGTGAAAGCTGGCAACACAATGACGTGTTTAGTGAGGTGCCAGTTACCCTTTTGATGCAGAACCCTATAATACTAGTCACGATATTCTTTACAGGATATGGACTTCTTTGCAACATATATATATATATATATATATATATATATATATATATATATATATATATATATATATATATATATATATATATATATATATATATATATATATATATATATATATATATATATATATATATATATTAAATATGACCGAAAAAGTAAGATTAATAATTCTAACACGAATTTTCTCAATCTTTCGTACATTATGCTTCACTGTTGGAGGTAAATCAAAAATCACTTCTCCAAAATTCATTTTTATTTCTAGTCTGATGCGACACGGGCGCGTTTCGTAAAACTTATTACATTTTCAAAGACTTCACAAATACACAACTGATTAGAACTTGCGTTTCCCTGATTTTATATCTACATTTGAGTGAGGTGGGAAGGGTGATGTGGCATTACATTTGAGTGAGGTGGGAAGGATGATGTGGCATTAACACAAGACAGAACACTAGAGGATATTAATAGGGTATTAAAAGTATCAACACAAGACAGAACAGAAACAATGGGTATTGAATAGAAGTGTTTGTAGAAAGCCTATTGGTCCATATTTCTTGATGCTACTATATTGGAGCGGAGTCTTGAGGTGGGTAGAATATAGTTGTGCAATAATTGGCTGTTGATTGCTGGTGTTGACTTCTTGATGTGTAGTGCCTCGCAAACGTCAAGCCGCCTGCTATCGCTGTATCTATCGATGATTTCTGTGTTGTTTACTAGGATTTCTCTGGCGATGGTTTGGTTATGGGAAGAGATTATATGTTCCTTAATGGAGCCCTGTTGTTTATGCATCGTTAAACGCCTAGAAAGAGATGTTGTTGTCTTGCCTATATACTGGGTTTTTTGGAGCTTACAGTCCCCAAGTGGGCATTTGAAGGCATAGACGACGTTAGTCTCTTTTAAAGCGTTCTGTTTCGTGTCTGGAGAGTTTCTCATGAGTAGGCTGGCCGTTTTTCTGGTTTTATAGTAAATCGTCAGTTGTATCCTCTGATTTTTGTCTGTAGGGATAACGTTTCTATTAACAATATCTTTCAGGACCCTTTCCTCTGTTTTATGAGCTGTGGAAAAGAAGTTCCTGTAAAATAGTCTAATAGGGGGTATAGGTGTTGTGTTAGTTGTCTCTTCGGAGGTTGCATGGCTTTTCACTTTCCTTCTTATGATGTCTTCGATGAAACCATTGGAGAAGCCGTTATTGACTAGAACCTGCCTTACCCTACAGAGTTCTTCGTCGACTTGCTTCCATTCTGAGCTGTGGCTGAGAGCACGGTCGACGTATGCGTTAACAACACTCCTCTTGTACCTGTCAGGGCAGTCGCTGTTGGCATTTAGGCACATTCCTATGTTTGTTTCCTTTGTGTAGACTGCAGTGTGGAAACCTCCGCCCTTTTCCATGACTGTTACATCTAGAAAAGGCAGCTTCCCATCCTTTTCCGTCTCGTAAGTGAAACGCAGCACGGAACTCTGCTCAAATGCCTCCTTCAACTCCTGCAGATGTCTGACATCAGGTACCTGTGTAAAAATGTCGTCAACATACCTGCAGTATATGGCCGGTTTCAAGTTCATGTCGATTAAGACTTTTTGCTCGATGGTACCCATGTAGAAGTTTGCAAACAGGACACCTAGGGGAGAACCCATGGCGACCCCATCTACTTGCTTATACATGTGCCCATCCGGGCTCAAGAAGGGTGCCTCTTTAGTACAAGCTTGGAGTAGTTTCCTCAGAATACTTTCTGGCATGTCAAGAGGAGTACAGGCTGGATCACGATACACTCTGTCGGCTATCATTCCGATTGTCTCGTCCACAGGTACGTTGGTGAACAGCGATTCTACGTCCAACGAGGCTCTTATCCCTGTGGCCCGTGCGCCCCGCAGTAAGTCCACAAATTCCTTTGGAGACTTCAGGCTGAAGGCGCAAGGAACATAAGGAGTCAGCAGGCCGTTGAGTCGCTTCGCCAATCTGTACGTGGGTGTGGGTATCTGGCTAATGATCAGCATCAAGAAATATGGACCAATAGGCTTTCTACAAACACTTCTATTCAATACCCATTGTTTCTGTTCTGTCTTGTGTTGATACTTTTAATACCCTATTAATATCCTCTAGTGTTCTGTCTTGTGTTAATGCCACATCATCCTTCCCACCTCACTCAAATGTAATGCCACATCACCCTTCCCACCTCACTCAAATGTAGATATAAAATCAGGGAAACGCAAGTTCTAATCAGTTGTGTATTTGTGAAGTCTTTGAAAATGTAATAAGTTTTACGAAACGCGCCCGTGTCGCGTCAGACTAGAAATAAAAATGAATTTTGGAGAAGTGATTTTTGATTTACCTCCAACAGTGAAGCATAATGTACGAAAGATTGAGAAAATTCGTGTTAGAATTATTAATCTTACTTTTTCGGTCATATTTAATAATATATATATATATATATATATATATATATATATATATATATATATATATATATATATATATATATGTATACGTATATATATATATATATATATATATATATATATATATATATATATGTATACATATATATACATATATATACATATATATATATATATATATATATATATATATATATATATATATATATATATATATATATATATATATATATATATATATATATATATGTATATATGCGAACAAGCCTGAATGGTCCCCAGGACAATATGCAACTGAAAACTCACACCCCAGAAGTGACTCGAACCCATACTCCCAGGAGCAACGCAACTGGTATGTACAAGACGCCTTAATCCACTTGACCATCACGACCGGACAAAATGAGGTGATAGCCTAAGCTATTTGAACCACCCCACCGCCGGCACTCAGATAGTAATCTTGGGCATAGCATTTTACCAAATCACCTCATTCTTTGGGGCACACGTGAGGAACACAAATGCGAACAAGCCTGAATGGTCCCCAGGACAATATGCAACTGAAAACTCACACCCCAGAAGTGACTCGAACCCATACTCCCAGGAGCAACGCAACTGGTATGTACAAGACGCCTTAATCCACTTGACCATCACGACCGGACAAAATGAGGTGATAGCCTAAGCTATTTGAACCACCCCACCGCCGGCACTCGGATAGTAATCTTGGGCATAGCATTTTACCAATATAATATTTACAAATATAACTGATATGTATATATATATATATATATATATATATATATATATATATATATATATATATATATATATATATATATATATATATATATATATATATATATATATATATATATATATATATATATATATATATATATATATATATGTATATGTATATATATATATATATATATATATATATATATATATATATATTATATGTATATATATATATATATATATATATGTATATATATATATATATATATATATATATATATATATATATATATATATATGTATATGTATATAGTATGCCCTACCATGTATATATATATGTATATATGTGTGTGTGTGTGTGTGTGTGTGTGTGCGCGTATGTGTGTGTGTGTATATGTGTGTGTGTGCGTGCGCGTATGTGTGCGTGCGCGCGTGTATGTGTGTGTGTGTGTGTAAATCACGAAAATAAACACGTGATTAAAAATGTGACAGTGTCAGACCACGGAGGAAGAACTGAAACAGGAATTTCCTTAAGTACTTTCGTATATTAATACATCATCATAAAAAGTGATTTCCAGGTGATTGATAAAGATTAAGCCACCAAAGAGGTGGCACGGGCATGAATAGCCCGTAAGTGGCGGCCTTTTTGAGCCATTACCAGTATCAAGAGCTGATACTGGAGATCTGTGGAGGTGCACTTGTAGGTAAGGGGGGGGGCCCTATTGATGTCGTCAGGTCACGTGACAGCGTGACGCCGGGTGAATTTTTTCTCCTGAAGACCCAATTTGCCAAGGGCAATGGATTTTGGCCTCAGGCTATCACTTACAAGATGTTTTCTCTGAAACAAAATTTAAAGAAAATGGAACATCTGGGGAAACTAGCACAAAT